AAAGCTGTAAAAACCTGGCTGTTCCAGCAGGCCTGGGGCTGTTGACCTCATTGTTGAGGTCCAGCCCCAATTAGAATGAATGCATGTGGCCTTGTGATTTTAAACTGCCTTTTTTTTCTTGTGTTTTCTTTCTCTTTTTTTCTTCTCTTTTGTAAGCCGCCCGGAGTCCTTCGGGATTGGGCAGCATATAAATTTTGATAATAAATAATAATAAATAAATAACAAATCCCCTTGCCCGGTGGCTTCATATAGAAATTAAATAGGACCAGGGAAAGAGTTGAATCCTCCAGATCCTGGAAAGCAGAGGCTTGGGGCCAGACCTCTCTCTACCAACACTGACTAGAACCAAAGGAAAATGGCTAACAAAAGTACATCCCTACTTCTTTAAGCGGCCCCAAAGGCTGTGATGACTAATGGCTACGGAAAGATCAAGGAAAAGTTGGTCTATGACTCTTCTCCATCCCATATTCATGGCATTTTTCCTTACTCAGAAATTTGCATGTTTCTTTTGAAATTTGTCTAGCTAAATTTTGCCCAAAATTCCTGTTTTCCAAGATCCTCTTGAATCTTGATATTATCCTTTAAGCTATTTTCTATTGGCCCACCTTTGTATTGCTTGCAAATTTTATAATTGTATTTCCTAATCCCCATCCAAGTAATCTGCAAATATATTGAACAGTGCGGGGCCTAGAGCAAAGTCCTGCAGTCTTAACCTTCCCCTCTAGCCGAGAGAGGCTCTGGCTGGCTTCCACCATCCATGTCCAGAATTCAAGCCCCACTTTGTCATATACTGTGGGAGGTCTTGTTGACTGCTTTGCTGAAGTCACGATATCCATCACATTCCCACTGACAACCAAATTGGTCCCTGCCAAAAAAAGAAGATCAGGTTGTTTGGCCACAATTTATTCTTGATAAATTTATGCTGGCTCCTGACAAGCAGTATATTATTTTCTAAATGCTAACAGACAACTGCTTAATCATTTGTTCCAGAATTTTGTGAGGTTCAATCTCAGGCTGAGGAGCCCATACTTCTATTATTTCCCCGCTTTTTGTGCAGAGGGGGAGGATTTCCCCTTTTCAGTCCACTGATGCAACTCCAGTGCTCCATGAAGATGTTGCAAAGATTGCAGAAAGGTGCTCAAGTGGCATTCGCCAGCTCCTCAAGACGCTGAGCTGTGACTGCTCTGGTCCCAGATCAGGACAAAACTCTAACTCTGCTTTACCCCGTCATCAGGACACCCATCGTCCCCAGCACCAGCATCCATGGCCTCTTTTCAAATGCAAAACCACTGCACCCCTCGCTAGTAGGGAAGGAAGCTCTGTTTTGCTCTGCTTCAAAGCCATTGTTTTCTCTCCAAAGCCCTTGCACAAGTGAACAGCTGGCGCAGACGCGCACCGTCATCCAGGTCAGGTGCATTTTGATCCCGAAAGACATGTGTCTAGCAGCTCTTTGGAGATGCCTGGTGGGGAGAGGGATGGCATCAGTGTAGGAAAGCAAAGTTCCCGCGCAGGACAGAAGATGCGACCTGGGAGTGGGGAGAAGATTTCTAGAGCTTGATGAACCACTTGGTCCTCTGCACTTGTCAACTGCTGGCACAAACTATTCATCTTCCCCACTCACGTTGTTAGAAAGCAGACAAAGTGTGCCTTATTTTATTACATGCTAATCCATAAAAATCCCCAGACAGTTTATTGGCAGGACTAGACCTCAATGGTCTTTTAATTCCACCGTAGTAGATCGATAATCTTGTAATTGACTTTAATAGATGCTCTCTGGAGCCGCCTTCTAACGTGCCAGCTGCTGCAGTGCCATCAGCAAGCGACAGCAGAAGGGGTCCCCGGGGCAGGCCCTCCTCTGCCGGCCCTTCAGCCAAAGAAGTCCAGAGAATCCCAAAGTCAACAGGGTGAGTGAGCCCTAAGCCGACTGGCGGAGTTTCTCCTCAAAAGGCGCCCTTGGGGGAAGACCGAGTGCGAATCCTGCTTGGATGGACCTGCACAGTTCTTTCCCCTATTGGTGACCTTCTTCAAAAATGTAGGTTAGTAAACGGCTCTATTGGTGTTTACACTTTTGACAGGAAGTGTTAGGCAACCCCTTCACGGGACCCTCTCTCTCCCCACAGAAGCCTCAGGAGGTCCCGTTGCCTGCAGTGGACTTGGGGACTCCCCTCAAAGGGGAGGGAAACCGAGGCAGGGAGGCTGGTGACCGTCCAGCCAGGGAGGCCGTGGCTTTGGGAGCCCAGCGAGCTCTGCAGCCAGGTAGGGGCGGCCTTCGTCTCAGAGTGAAGCCTTGCGGGGCTGGAGGAAGAGGGGGATGTCTGCAGGATGTGTTGAGGGCTGTCATTAATGGGTGGACTGACCTGGCATTGGCTTCCACCCACACGCCAACCGTTGGCAGAAACACCACTTTCCTTGAGAGGGGGAGGACTTGGGAAGGTTTCGCTGTCAATCAAAGCTGGCTCCGGGCAGAGCGAGCCTTGGCACCCAAAGGGAGCCCAGCAACAGATGGCCCTCGAGATCCGGCGCTTCCCCGGAGTCCAGCCGA